AGTCAGGAAGTTGTTACTCAGATATATCAGAAGCAAAAGCAATAAAAAGAAAAATAGATAAAATTAAAAACTCTTTGTGCTTCAAAGGATAGTATCAAGAAAGTAAAACAACAACCCACAGAATGGAAGACAATATTTGCAAACTGTATATCTTAAAAAGATGTGCATCCAGAAAAAATACATAAAATGTAGATCTATATTTCTATTATGTATAAATATGACACAAAGCTATATAGTATATACAGATAACACCTAATTCGAAAAGGGACAACAGGGACACATTGTGGCGTAATGGGTGGGGCAGCCACCTGCAGTGGCGGCATCCCATATGGCCACTGGTTCAAGTCCCAGCTGCTCCACTTCTGACCCAGCTCTCTGCTGTGGCCTGGGAAGGCAGTGGAAGATGACCCAAGTCCTTGGGCCCCTGAACCTGCCTGGGAGACCCAGAAGAGGCTCCAGGCTCCTGGCTTCGGATTGGTGCATCTCCAGCAGTGCGGGCCAATTGGAGAGTGAACCAGCAGATGAAGGACCTCTCTCTCTCTCTCTCTCTCTCTCTCTGCCTCTCCTTCTCTGTCTGTGTAACTCTGACTTTCAAATAAATAAATCTCAAAAAAAAAAAAATGGACAAAGTAAACAAAAATGATTTAAGTGTTTCACCAAAGAAAATGTTCAAATGGCCAATAAATATACGAAAAGATTTTATACATCCTCAGTAACTCAGGAAATAAGTTGAAACCACAAGATTTACATCCACTGGAGGTGGCAATAATAAACAAAACAAAACTGGACAATGGCAAGTGTTGCAAGTGTTTGAGGAACTGGAACCCTCAGACATTGCAGGTGGGAATGTAAAATGCAGACGTTTCTTCGGAAAATAGTTTCACAGTTCCATAAAATGTTAAATATGGGAGCTATGGAATAATCCAGCAAGTCACACTAAGAGAAATGAGAACATATTTCATGCACAAAAACTTGTACACAAGGTACGGGCATTAGCCTAGCAATCCTGGTAAAGACACCTGTGTCCCACATCGGCGTCCTGGGATTCAGTTCCTGCTCCAGCTCCTGACTCCAGCTTCCTGCCAATGCAGAAGCCGTGACGGCTCAAAATGCTGGGACCCTGCCACCCACGTGTGAAACGTGGATTGAGTTCCTAGCTCCTGGTTTCAGCCTCTGTCCAGCTGTAGTCACTATGGACACTTGGGGAAGGAGATAAGAGCGTTCTGATTAACTGTCTCTGTGTGTCTCTCAGTGAGCAGATAATTAAATAAAATCCTTACACTGAAATCATTTAAAAAGTGTATGAGGTCAGCGCCACGGCTCACTAGGCTAATCCTCCGCCTTGCAGCGCCGGCACACCGGGTTCTAGTCCCGGTCGGGGCGCCGGCCGAATTCTGTCCCGGTTGCCCCTCTTCCAGGCCACCTCTCTGCTGTGGCCCGGGAGTGCAGTGGAGGATGACCCAAGTGCTTGGGCCCTGCACCCCATGGGAGACCAGGAGAAGTACCTGGCTCCTGCCATCGGATCAGCGCAGTGCACTGGCCACAGCGCGCCGGCCGCGGCGGCCATTGGAAGGTGAACCAACGGCAAAAGGAAGACCTTTCTCTCTGTCTCTCTCTCTGTCCACTCTGCCTGTCAAAAAATAAAAAAATAAAAAAAACTGTATGCAAATAAATGTTTATAGCAGTGTTTCCGGGATAGACAAAAATGGAAACAAATATCTATCAACTAATGAGAGTTTAACTAAAATATGATATATATATATATATAATGAGAAATCCAAATCCTGATCAATTAAAAAAAAAAAACACTACATTTGATTTCTTTCAACCTGACCATAAACTCTTACAGAGGCTTTCCCTTGGAAGCCTCACGGGGGAAAGCGGCGGCTGCACGCCAGCTCGGTGCACAGCGCTGCCCTGCAATGAGACGAGGGACTTGAGGACTCAGGCCCCTGTGGCCGCCACGCTCGAGTGCAGCTGTGCTCAGAGTCCAGGCGCCACAGTCACAAGTCTCCGATACACGCTACAACACGGATGAGCTTTAAAAACACCGTGCTAAGGGAACGCAATTAGTCGCCGAGACCACTTACCGGCTGATTCCACTAGGGGAAACGTCTGGCACGGGCAGACCTACAGACAGAATGTAGACCTGCTGCTGGCGGACCGAGGGGAGGGAGGAATCAAGGGTGACTGCCGATGAGAACTTTTAAGAAATGAGGAAAATATTCCCCAGATTGTGGTGACGGCTGCACATCTCTGTAAACACAATAAAAGCCACAGCATTCTACATTTTGAATGGGTGCATTTTATAGAATTTAACTTATTTCTCAGTAAAGATGTAACATGAACTAAACAATGTTAGTTCATATCACATTTAGAACACAGCAAGATGGAAAAATGAGAAAAGAACAGACTAAAATGCTCTGTAAAAGATTTTTCTTTTTTTTTTTTTTTTTTTTTTTTTTTGACAGGCAGAGTGGACAGTGAGAGAGAGAGAGACAGAGAGAAAGGTCTTCCTTTGCCGTTGGTTCACCCTCCAATGGCCGCCGCGGCCGGCGCGCTGCGGCCGGCGCACCGCGCTGATCCGATGGCAGGAGCCAGGAGCCAGGTGCTTTTCCTGGTCTCCCATGGGGTGCAGGGCCCAAGCACCTGAGCCATCCTCCACTGCACTCCCTGGCCACAGCAGAGAGGTGGCCTGGAAGAGGGGCAACCAGGACAGAATCCGGCGCCCCGACCGGGACTAGAACCCGGTGTGCCGGCGCCGCTAGGCGGAGGATTAGCCTAGTGAGCCGCGGCGCCGGCCACTGTAAAAGATTTTTCAAAATATCCATCTAGCAATGTGGAGATACTGAAGGGTTCTGAGAAGTGGGCTAATATGTTGGAATCTAGCAAAAACAAACAAACAAATACAAAAACTGTTGTCAGTGACAAGAATGGCTTAGAGAATAGCTGGGGGCCAGCATTGTGTGTAGGGGGTAAAGCAGACACCTGCAACACTGGCATCCAATGTGGGTGCTGGTTCAATACCCACCTGCTCCACCTTTGATCCTATTAATGTGCCTGGGAAAGCAGCAGAAGATGGCCCAAGTGCATGGGCCCCTATACCTATGTGGGAGACGTGGAAGAAGCTGTGGGCTCCTTGCTTGGACCTGGCCCAGCCCTGGCTGTTGTGGACTTTTGGGGAGTGAATCAGAGAATGGAAGATCTCTCTCTCTCTTTCTCTCCTCTCTCTGTAACTCTGTTTCAAGCAGATAAATACATTTTTTAAGGGGGGGGGGGGAGAAAGAGAAAGAGAAAGAGAGAGAGAAACACAGCTGAACTCGAGGCGGAAAGACCAGATAAGACACTTAGAATTGTCCACTGAAAAAATTAAAACATGAAGAGAACCTAAGACAGGTAAGAAAAGGCAAAATGCTATGATTCGACCTTTAGAATGGAATGCTATTTATAGAAGCTTTCTACAGAAATCAACTTTAACATACCAATAGATATGTCCTTGTTACATAACACACACACACACACACACACACCCCACCCGCGGGCCGGCCCCAGACAGAGGGAGCTACAGAACGTCATCAAGGCCAGGACAGCAGAGTGGTAGAAAACCCCTGGTAACTGGCCACCCTGACGGTTAGCAGATGCTTCAATCTAGGACTTCGCTAACAGAGACTTTGTCTTCAATAACTTCAGTGTATGAGGCCTGTATCTTTCTCAGCTACATGTTACAGAACACAAGCACGAGCTACATTTTTTAGTATAAAAAACAATGGAAAGATTCACTCAGGAGTATTTTATAGCTAAACCAGCTTCATTTCTTTCAATTAAATATCCCACAGACTAACAGTAAGCCTGACATATACGCAGTTCTGTGATAAATACTTGCTTCCTACTAAAACACCCAGAGGAAAAGACATTTGGTGCTGCCTTAATCTTTTCAGAAACAATTTTTTCTCAATATAAAATTGTGAAGTACGATACTCGTATTTTTAGGGTTTTGTCCACAGTTCCCAATTCAAACTCCTTCCTCAAGGCAGGACATAGAAAAAATTTCTATTCCCCAAGGCAGGTGAAAGAAACCCTACTCATCATTCTACATAGCAGGTCATAAGACCCTCCTCATTCCAGAGGGGTCCTGCCCTGTGCCAGCGGAACTATTAATAATCACCCTTAAGTAAGGAAGTCTCCATAAAAACCTTAAAGGGCAGGGTTTGGAAAGCTTCGGGACTGCTGAACACATACGAGCTCCTAGAGGGTGGCAGGCAAACTCGGCACCCCTCTGCCACACCTCGCTCCAGGCATCTCTCCAAATGCATCTTTTTAGTGAATTTCATAAAAAACAAGCAAATATAAAAAAGTGTTTCCCTAAGTTCTGTGAGCTGCTTCTGCAAATTTACCACACCTGAGGAGGGGGCTGTGCGAATCCCAGTTTATTTAACAGTCAGAAGTACAGCTGTAACAACTTGCGGCTTGCAACAAATGTCTGAGATGTGGGGGCTGGGGCAGCAGTCCTGGGGACTGAGCTGTGGGAGCTGACCCTAGCTCCAGGTGTACAATGTCCGAATCAAGCTGAATTAGAGGACACCAGCTCACGTCTGCTGCTGGGCAGAAATCCCCACACCTTTCGAGATCACAGGAGTGAACTGCATTGTGAGTCATAGTAGGATGAATGGAGTTTAGGTTTTAGTTTTCCTACACAAAATATGTGTTAAAAGGCAAGGGCATGCATAAAACATCTCACCTTGGGGCCGGCGCTGTGGCATAGCAGGTAAAGCTGTTGCCTGCGGTGCCGGCATCCCATATGGACGCTGGTTCGAGACCTGGCAGCTCCATTTCCGATCCAGCTCTCTGCTATGGCCTGGGAAAGCAATAGATGGCCCAGTCCTTGGGCCCCTGCACCCATGTGGGAGACCCGGAAGAAGCTCCTGGCTCCTGGCTTCAGATCTGTCTGTGTAACTCTGACTTTCAAGTAAATACATAAATCTTTAAAAAAAAAATCTCACCTTGGATTTCCGCACGAACCACAAAAATATGTCTACAGCGTAAGTTCAGCTTAGGTGGATACCTGAATTGGAAAAAAAGAAAAAGAAAAATGCATGGTCAACATGATGTCTTAGAGGGAATTTACTTCTATCAGTAGAACCCTAGCTTGATCTTTTACCCCCAAAATTTCTGTGTTCAAGTTGTTCTCTAGAAATCTATAGAATGTCAAGAATTAAACTTCTGCCAGGAGCTGGTGCTGGGGCGGAGCAGGTAAAGCCTCCGCCTGCAGTGCCAGCATCCCATATGGGAACCTGTTCAGGTCCCGGCTGCTTCACTTCCTATCCAGCTCTCTGCTGTGGCCTGGGAAAGCAGTGGAAGATGCCCCAAGTGCTTGGGCTCCTGCACCCGCATGGGGGACCTGGAAGAAGCTCCTGGTTCCCAGCTTCAGATCAGCCCAGCTCCAGCTGTTGTGGCCATTTGGGGAGTGAACCAGCAAATGGAAGACCTCTCTCTCTGCTTCTGCCCCTCTGTATCTGCCTTTCAAATAAATAAATAAATCTTAAAAAAAAAAAAAAAAACCTTCTGCCAGACTTTCTACTGCCTCTGTTTAACATTAATGATGATTCTTAAAATAAAAAAAAGTATCAAGAACACATGTTACACACTACATTGACAAGAGGGGAAAAGTCAACTCCCTTCACCCGCTCGGTTCCTGGGAGGAAAGCTCTTCTCGACAAGCCTGTACTCCTGTACCACCATCCCGACTGCCTGCCTCACAAAACACACAGAGCTTCAGAGCTGGAAGACACGGAAGTAAATCGGGAGCACACGTCTATGGAGCCTAAGTAAAAGGGAAAATCAAATGAAACTGGCTGATGAATATGAAAAATGTTTCTCTGCTTTGGCAAAAAAATAAATAAATAAAATGCAATGCAGGCCGGCGCCGCAGCTCACTTGGCTAATCCTCCGCCTTGCAGCGCCGGCACACCGGGTTCTAGTTCCAGTTGGGGCGCTGGATTCTGTCCCAATTGCTCCTCTTCCAGGCCAGCTCTCTGCTGTGGCCAGGGAGTGCAGTGGAGGATGGCCCAGGTGCTTGGGCCCTGCACCCGCATGGGAGACCAGGAGAAGCACCTGGCTACGGGCTTCAGATCAGTGCATCGCGCCAGCCACAGCGGCCATTTGGGGGATGAACCAATGGAAAAGGAAGACCTTTCTCTCTCTCTCACTGTCTAACTCTGCCTGTCAAAAAAAAAAAAAAAAAAGCAATGCCATCTTTCCTAATGAAATTCAGAGTTGTTTTCGAAAAAAAAAAAAAAAAAAGCTCGTTATTAGCACTGCTCCACTTCTCCTTAGCAGACTCAAACCCTCTTCCAATTTAGGCATGTCTTTTTTTTTTTTTTTTAATTTTTTTGACAGGCACAGTGGACAGTGAGAGAGAGAGTCAGAGAGAAAGGCCTTCCTTTGCTGTTGGTTCATCCCACAATGGTTGCTGAGGCCGGCACACCGCGCTGATCCGAAGGCAGGAGCCAGGTGCCTCTCCTGGTCTCCCATGGGGTGCAGGGCCCAAGCACTTGGGCCATCCTCCACTTCACTCCCGGACCACAGCAGAGAGCTGACCTGGAAGAGGGGCAACCAGGACAGAATCCGGCGCCCCAACCAGGACTAGAACCCGGGGTGCCGGCGCCGCAGGTGGAGGATTAGCCTAGTGAGCCGCGGCGCTGGCCTAGGCATGTCTTTGTGATGTGCTTTAGCCACTGAGATGTGCAAAGATGTGAAGAGACATTCCCAGGCATGAGCTTTAGGGACCAGCAGGAAGTGCAGGCCTACACACTGCTCCAGGGATTACGGAAGCCAGTGATTAGCTGCACCTCTGGGTAGGCCGTTCACTACTGAGTCGGAGGAGTAAGGATTCCTCGCTCCTGTGTGTTAGACGTGCAGTCTGAGCAAGGAACACACATTGTATCAAGCTGCTGAAATTCTGGGGCCTTTATTCCTATAACACCATCTATCTAGGACAGCTACAAACAATAATACATATTATAATAATGCAGTATAACAAGTACCTTTGTATACTGCTCATGGCATGTAAGTCGGTAAAACTGTTCTGAAGAGTAGGTTTGCAATATGTGACGAGAACCTTGTGAAGGTCAAGTGCTTTGACCCAGTTAACGTTTTCCCAGCAATCTGCACTAAATAATCAAAGTTCAAACAAAGATGTATATCGTAACACCTTTATGACTTTGAAAAGCTAGAAACAAACTGAATGTCCAAGTGATTAATGGGTTAGAATATTAAGTAATCATTCATTAAATTGGGTACCAAACACGCTTGATGCCTAATGGGAAACTGTGGGAAGGGGAAACATGGCAACTACTCCCTGCTCAATTTTTCCACATATGCTGTTCTGTTACAGGCAAAACTAATCTACAGTGGCAGAAAACAGAGCCGCCGCTGCAGCAGCCAAAGGGTATATGGAAGAACTGCTGGCAAAGGGGCTTACAAGAAGCTTTTAGGGGAAAGGAAATATTGATTATCTTGATTATGATGCTTCTGACAGGAAGTGTACAATCATTAAAGCTCACCAAACGACACTGCACCTAAATCCTCTCTTAGTGGGGAAAGTGTTCGGTGCAGCAGTTAAGACACCGCCTGGGACACCCATATCCCACGTTGGAGTGCCTGGGCCCGGGTCCCTGCGCCACTCCAGCTTCCTGCTGGTGCACACCCTGGGAGGCGGCAGGTGACGATCCAAGTACTTGCATCCCTGCCACCGATGTGGGAAAACTGAACTGCGTCTGGCTCCTGGCTTTGGTCTTAATCAGCCCCAATCATTGTAAGCATCTGGGGAGTGAATGAGTGAGTGAGAAATATATCTTTGCCTTTCAAATAAATAAAAATACATAAGAATTTTTAAAGAATCTTACCCTGGGGGAAGCACTGTGGCAAAGCGGCTTACGTTGCCATTTGGGATGCCCACATCCCATACAGGAGGCCAGTTTGAATCCCCACTTCCTGCTACTGCACCCGAGAGGCAGCAGGTGACGACCCAAGCACCTGGGCTCCTGCCACCCACATAAGAGACCGTGATGAAGTTCTGGCTCCTGGCTTCACCCCGGCCCTATCCATTACAAGCGTTTGGCAGGGCTGAGGTGGGGCAGTGAATCGGTAGATGGAAGATCATTCTCTGCCTCTCACCATCTCTCAGCCATTCTGACTTTCAAGTAAATAAATAAATATTTTTAAGACATTATTATCAGAGCTGGTGCTATAGCACAGGTTAAGCCTCCGCCTGTGGCACTGGCACCCCATGCAGGCAACAATTCATGTCTTGGGTGCTCCTCTTCCAATCCAGCTCTCTGCTAATGGCCTGGGAAGGCAGTGGAAGATGGTCCAAGCACTTGGGTCCCTGCAGCTGCGTGAGAGACTTGGAAGAAGCTCCTGACTCCTGGCTGCAGATCAGCCCAGCTCCGGCCATTGTGGTCATTTGGGGAGTGAACTAGCACATGGAAGACCTCTCTTTCTTGTCTCTCCCTCTCTCTGTCTGTAACTGCCTCTCAAATAAATAAATCTTTTTTTATTTTAAAAAAGACATTATTATCTTGGGACTGGCATTGTGGTACAGCAAGTTAAGCCACTGCCTGGGACGCTGGCATCAAATATGCATGCCAGCTCCTCTACTTCAGATCCAGCTCCCTGCTAATGTGCCTGAGAGAGCAGCAAAAGATGCCCCAAATACTTGGGCCCTGTCACCCATGTGGGAGACCCGGATGGAGTTCCAGCCTCTTGGCTTTCGCCTGGGCATCCCCAGCCTTTGTGGCCATTGGTGAGCCAGCAGAAAGAAGGCCTCTTTCTCTCTGTCTCTAGTAACTCTGCCTTTGAAATAAATAAATCTTTTATTATTATTATTATTATTATTATTATTATTTGGACAGGCAGAGTTAGACAGTGAGAGAGAGAGAGAAAGAGACAGAGAAAAAGGTCTTCCTTCTGTTGGTTCATCCCCCAAATGGCTGCCACAGCCAGCGCGCTGCGCTGATCCGAAGCCAGAAGCTAGGTGCTTCCTCCTGGTCTCCCATGGGGTGCAGGACCTAAGGACTTGGGCCATCCTCCACTGCCTTTCCGGGCCACAGCAGAGAGCTGGACTGGAAGAGGGGCAACTGGCACAGAATCCGGCGCCCCGACCGGGACTAGAACCCGGGGTGCTGGCACCACAGGCAGAGGATTAGGCAAGTGAGTTGCAGCGCCGGCTGAAATAAATAAATCTTAAAAAAAAAAATGAAATGTATGTGGAGCAGAGAGAATACACTGAAGGGTAATTTATTGAGCTACCTGACGGGAAAGTTCCTTAAGCTTTTATAGGAATTCTCTCCAAGCAAGGGAAGTTGGGGGAGGGCGGAGGAAACAGAGAAAGTATTCCACTTCTAATGGAGGGGCTGGTGTTGTGGTGCAGGGGATTACCCTGCCATCCATGATGCCACCTGCAGGCCAGCATCCCATGTTAGTGCTATAGTTCAAGTCCTTGTTGCTAAACTTCTGATCCAGCTCCCTGCTAATCCACCTGGGAGAGCATCAGCAGATGGCTGCAGTGAATGGGACCCTGGCACCCATGTGGGAGACCCAGATGGAGTTCCGGACTCCTGGCATCCCTGGTCATTACAGCTGTTTGGGGAGTAAACCTGAGGATGGAAGAGCACTCTCTCTCTTTGTAACTCTGTCTTTCAAATAAAACAATCTTAAAAAAATGTTTAAACATTAAAAAAAAATCTTACCAAAGTTAATTTTAAAAGTAAAATAAAAAAAAAAAAGCTAATGACAGGTAAATGCTCATCTCCTGAATAATCTGAATTATATAAAATACATATATTAGCATAGAAAAGGACTAGAAATATATACAATGTTACCCTGCATAAAGATTGTATAGGTATTTTCCCTTAAGTTCTGTCTGCTCAAATGTTCTAAATAAGTATGTATTTTTTTTTCATTTGGTTATACTTTATTGAGATCCACAGGCTGAAGCCTAGAGTCAGCTTGAGGTTTTAATAATTTATTCATCCAATATTGATCACGCACCTCCGTGTACAAACAGCATTCTAAGAGGCACGGGACGCTTGTGCACGTGGGTGCGTTTCCCCAGAGTTCAGCTGGAGGTGCCCTTCAAGTGATCCATGCACCAACAGTCATCACAGACCGCACCTTCTGTAATCTCTACACTGACAAATGACAGCTCAGTTGTGACTGTTCATGAACTGTGCCTCCGCTCCTATCAGTCTACCCAATCTCTCTGAAAACAAGCTTAAATTCCTACAGTGTTTATTATTGAATATATACTTTCTTTTTTTTTTTTTTTAAGAGGCCAGACAGAGCCAGACAGATGAAGAGCAAGAAAGACCTCTCATCTTCCGGTTCACTCCCAAACGCCCACAACCTTCCGGACAGGGGCAGGACCCAAGGCAGGAGCTCGATTACCTGAGCCATCACCGCTGGGTCCCCGGATCTGGGTTGGTGGGAAGGCAGAGCAAGCAGCTGCAGCCCAGTTTCCAGTCAGTTCTGCAAGGCTGGGTGCTGCAGCGCAGCAGGTGAAGCCACCACCTGGGATGCACATACCCTGACTGAGGCACCAGCGCAAGTTCTAGCTACTCGCCTTCCAATGCAGCTCCCTGGGAAGGTGCCTAGGAAGCAGCAGGTGACAGCTCAAGGACTTGAGTCTCTGCCATCCATGTGGGAGACCAGCCTGGAATTCCTGGCTCTTGGCTTTAGCCCAGCCCAGCCTCTGCTGTTGCAGCCGTCTGGGAAGTAAATGAAAGATCTCTCTCTTTCTGTCACTCTGCATTGACTGAATGGACAAATGAATAAACAAACAAACCTAAAACACAAAAGAGAAACCAGGTCCTCCAATGAGATTTAGGCATCGTAACCCCTGGGCTAAATGGCCACCACATATCACACACTTGGAAAGCACTGCAAAGTGTGTCTATTTCTAAGAAGTATATGCACTGATAATCATTCTCTTAAATTTGTAATGAGTTTTAAGTATTTTAAAGGATTAAAAGTTGTTACAACTATAAAAATGGCTATAGTACTTAAAACTCTAAGTATCAACACAGAAACACAGAAAGTAATTAAATATGACAATGAAGACAGAGCATTAAGCAAATAGAAGAGCAGGAACTATTGGATTAAGCAAACAGAAATAACAGATTCCTATAATTAACAAGCTGTAATCAACAAGGCAGGCTAGGGCACAGGAAATGTTTGTTTCAGCAGCAAGCAGGGCAATTCAAGATACAGGGGACAGGTTCCCAAAATAACTGGCATCTCATGATAGGAAAATCCGAGATATTTATTCCACAGCAGGGACTAGAAGGGATTTCAAAAAGTATATAAAAAAATCAAATTAAAATAATGTGAACTTTCCATGGGTTTTTTGAAGCCCCTTTATACATGTAAAACAAAAAAAAATGAGGGGGAACATAAAGGAGAGTACAGGAATTATTTTAAACCAGCAAGTTCTGAGATTAAATCCCTGCACTCAAGCGCACCCATGCTGCATCCTCACGTCTGAAGTTTGGACTCACTACACCACAGTCAATCAGTGTGACATCAGGGCACAGCTAGTGAAGGTGACGAAAGTCATCCTGGACATCGGGGAGTTTTCAGGACACTCGGAAATGGAGGACAACGTGACACACAGAATTATCAAGACTTCAGGAGAGGGAATGCAGACATCTCAGTAAACACCAACTGGGTATCCCTTATCTGAAATGCTTGAGACCAGAAGTAGTTCATATTTTGGAAAATTCACATAGACTTTACTGATTGATCATCCCGAATCCAAAAAATCTAGACATCTGAAATGCTCCGAAATCTGCAGCTTTAGGGTTCAGATACATAGATTAGGGGTGCTCTACCTGTATTACCTTCTTAACCCTTAGAAAACCACCTATGAGCAGTCAAATAAGACAGACAGAAGAAAGACACCAGCACAAGCTGGTCTTGGTTCCTCATTCTAGAAACTTCGAGTTTGGTAATAAACAGCACTCAACTCAACTAGCAGTCAAACTAAAGTCTGGGTGCCAAATCCAACCCATGGCCTTTCTAGTTGGGAGAGCAGGAGGGTATGAAGCTAAGAATGGTATTTACACTTTTAAAAGACTATAAACAAACAATAGGCACAGATGTGATACGTGGCCACAAAGCTCAACATACTTACTATCCAGCCTTCACAAAGGAAAAAGTCTGCTGACCTCTGAACTAAGTAACTCATAACTGGATGAAATACATCGGAGAGGTGGCTCAGCTCGGAGACGTAAAGTGCGCCGTGTCGGGGGGCTCTCGGACCACCTCTTCTCCCCACGGTATGACAAAGGGGGTGACTGAAGCCCATTCTAGTCTTCCGGGTTTACTCTCAGCCAGGTCTAATCACAGCACTGGGCCCTGTTCCTTCAGTGGAATAATTTGGGAGTACAAGAGGTTCGGTAAACTCTGCTCTAATTCTCAAGTCATCCCTCCCTACATGCAACTCACCAACTACATCAAGTGGCCTGCTGGTACTCTTCATATCTCACTAGCTTGGTGTTAAGGGTCACTTCCCATTTTCCCAATTCCATCTTCCTCGATCCTACTCACAAATTATTCAAACTGAGAAAATGAATCTGCTGAGCATTTATGAAAAGGCACTTTTTTCTTTTTATTCTGAGGACCTCAGTTTATGTGGTGTCTCTCCTGTGGACAAGTCCTCCTAGACAGAGAGAGAGAAAGATCTTCCATCCTCTGGTTCACTGCCCAAACAGCTCCAACAGCCAGGGCTGGGCCAGGATGAAGCCAGGAGCTTCATCTGGGTCTCCTAAATGGGTGCAGGGGTCCGAGCACTTGGGCCATCTTCCACTGCCCTCCCAGGCACATCAGCAGGGAGCTGGATCAGAAGTGGAGCAGCTAGGACTCGAACCGACTCCTACCAGCACTGCAGACGACAGCTTAACCCACAGTACCGAATTGCCGCTCCCTCATTTATCAAATTCTTAGCATTCGTCATGGCCCAACTCAACATCCGTGACATCTTTAAGAACTTTGTAATACAACAGAGAACAGGTGAGATACTGTACATACAAAAAGAGTAAAACAACAACAACAAAACCCCGAAATCTAACAAAATCATATGGAAATTGTAAGGAATAAAGTGTCACCTCTGGGGGAAATGTGTAGGCAAGGTTTTGGGGGAAACCTGTAAGATGTCCAAGGTCAGAGAGAACAGGGGGCACTTTTAGAAGAAGAAATGGAATGACCAGTGGCTGGTATTGTGGTGTAATAGGTAAAGCCGCCCCCTCAAATGCCGGCATCCAATATGGGTGCCAGTCCATGTCCCAGTTAATGGCCTGGTAAAAGCAGCAGAAGATGGCCCAAGAGCTTGGGCCCCTACCACCCATGTGGCAGACCAGGATGAAGCTCCTGGCTTCAACCTGGCTCAGTCCTGGCCATTGTGACCACCTGGGTTGTGAATCAGCAGGTGGAAGATCTTTTTCTCTTTCTCTCTCTCTTTCAAATAAACCTTAAAAAAAAGAAAAAGGAAAAGGAAAAAATGCAGACAGTCTCACCATTTTTTTCTTTCCCTATGTTTGGCTCTAATCAAATGATAGACTGCCCTTAATTTCTAAGGGTCCTTACCCACCCAGGATATTGAAGAAGTTACCAAGACAACATATTTAATATAGTAATCAGATGATCAATATCCAAAGTAGACTAGTTTATACCTGCACACATTTTCCGATAGCTTTTGTAAACATAAAAACACAACACACCTGCAAAACCCAATATAAATTCTGTGCACATAAGGCTGAATTCTGTTATTTCTGTAACATTAAATGCACCCTAAGAACTGAAAATTTTGACTTATTGATTATTTTGATTATTTAATTTTTCCTGAATAATTTTATTCTATGAATAGCAACCTTTGATTTTTCATTCGCTCCAAGCCTGGAGCTACCTCAACACTTCTTGAGGGGTGAGGGTCTGGTCTCGCACTCACGTGGGAGAGCCTGCATTCCACAGCAGGCTCTGCTTCTGACCCCGGATCCAGTGGTGATGGCTCAAGGAATGGATTCCTGCCACCTACTGTGGAGACCTGGATTGTGTTCCCAGCTCCTAGGTTAGGCACCAGTCAGGAGCCACTCAAGCATCTGGGGAGTGAGCCAACGGATGAGTGCTGTCTGTCTGTCTCCCTCTGTTTGTCTCTAAATAAGCAAGAATAAAAATTAAAATAAACACTTGCTGAATTAACAATATTGGGATAGATGCCAATGTTGTGGTACAGTGAGTTAAGCTGCTGCCTACAGTCCCAGCATCCCGATGGTCCACTTCCAATCCAGCTCTCTACTAATGGCCTGGAAAAGCAGCGGACGATGGCCCAAGTGCTTGAGCCCCTGCACCCAGAAGAGACTCAGAAGCAGCTCCTGGCTCCTGGCTTCAGCCCAGCCCCATCCCAGCCATTGCGGGCATTTGAGGAGTGAACCAGTGGATGGAAGATGGATCTCTCTCTCCCCCCCTCCACCTTCCTCCCTCCTTTCTATTCTCCCTCCTTACCTCTCTCTCCCTCTAACTCTGCCTTTCAAATAAATAAAATAAATCTTTATTTTAAAAAATCTTTTTAAAAAATATGGATATATATTTCATTGAAAATATTCCTCTCAATTATCCAGAATAACAGGAAGCAGGTAAACTAACATTAATAAAAAGTGATAACAAAATGTATTCATAAAAACTTAAGCTGTTATTTCAAAACCACCGTCTTTGAAATAAACATAAGTAACTCAAATTTTTACTCTAGGCTTTGTTGCAACATACACACACACACACCATCAAGACATTTTTATTAAATATAGCATGAAAGAGAAAAATCACATAATTTGCTACCCAGGAAAATGCTACCTGTTCACCTTTGTATTCTTAGCACAGACTGGGAGCCTCCAGACCGCTCCCCGAGCTCAGCTGTCTCGGGAAGTGTCTGTTCTTTTCCCTGTCTCAGAGGTAGGAGTCGTCAGCTCTGCAAGTGAAAGCAGAGCCTACCCACCACACACGCTCCACACATTTCAAGAGCTCTCTGGAATGAGAAGAGATATCCAGAGAGAAGTCCTCTAATCCCACCAGCAGAAGCCGCACTGTCTCACTGTTGTCCCTGTGCTATATTTAGACGGCTCTGAATTGAGTTATTTGAGCATGTACAGATACAACCTTGAAGGGGTCCACGTACTTGCTCCTGACGATCTGGAAACAAAAGCTGCTATTCAGATAAAAGATGACAGGCAACAGGAATCTGACAGGCCAGTAATTTACTGCATTTTCTGCACATTTGAATTTGTAGGCCTCCATAGCCATTAAGCGGAATTAGTTTCATGATGTCAGCCAAAAAGCCTCATGGGCAACAGTTTCGTGTCATTAAAAAAACTACCATGCTCAATCTGTTTTCTCATTAGAAGTCTCTCAGTGAACGGGGAAGAGATGTTTTAATTGGACTCTCACTCTATCCATGTTTAGTACAGCACTGAACTATATTCTTTCTCCTGTCTAAAATAATTCAGATAGACTTGAAGAAACTAAGTATCAGACTAGCTAGCAGTTCTCTACCAAAAACCGGAGCAATTTCAAACACAAATGTGATATTACTGTGATACAAGGTTATCCAGTTGAAAAGCACCTACCAGGGAAGGGCATCTTCATCTCCTACTGCTCCCATTTGTTACTCTCAGGATCTCAGCTGCTGAGTCTTTGTGAACGCTATTTCCCCCTCTTTATTTTTATCTCTTAAGATTGATTGATTGACTGATTGTCTGAAAGGCAGAATGACAGGGAGACACACACACACACACACACACACACACACACAATCTTCTAGCTGCTGGTTCACTCCTCAAACAGCCACAATGGTCGAGGCTGGGCCAGACTGAAGCCAGGAGCCAGGAATTCCATCCTGGTCTCCCAAAACGGTGGCAACGGGTGCATTAGCAGGGAGCTGGATCAGAATGCACATCTGGCATTCTGATATGGGGTGCCGGCCAGAGCAAGTCCCTACACCACCACACACCCTGCTTCCTTACTTAGAATCTCATGGGGGTGAGTCTGACAAATTTCTACTCATTACAGAACTCTTTCCTGGTTTTCCCAATGCTCATCCTATGGACTTTCTACATGATTTAATTAAGTACTTCTCACATTGGGTAGCAGTTCTGCCTCTTAGGGTCAGAGACCAATAAGCTCGCCGTGGACCAGGGCTGATCACCTCTTGGCACTACGCATACTCAGTCAGTACACACCAGCACAGCTGAGGGGCTGAGCTGAATGAGGCATTGGAGTACTGGGATGTAATCTGGTGAATGGGCACAACTCCAGGTGCTTGCTGATGGCCAGGCTCTCAACTACCACCATGATCCAGCAAGTAAAGCAGAAAAGGTGACACAGCAAAGAGGATGGGCAGGTCGTTTTAGATCCAGAACCAGGGCCATGGCCAGGAATGGTGGGGACCTGCGTTGTACGGACTGGTAAAAACACTGAATATCATACTTGTCACTTCATACCCAAAGCATGGGACATACCTAGCTTATAGAACTGCAATTCTTTGTCAAAACAATGAGTGAAGACATCCCAGTCCTATCAACGGTGCAAAGTCAATGGGTATGCTGTTAAAACTATGCAAGATCGACAAGAGTCCAGATCCTGAAGAACTAGAGAGGAAAACTCATCAGGCCTGTCTGCTTCTGTTTGGTTTCAGCCTCTGATTAAGTAGATGTTTAATTTGAAAATGTGGGCAAAAATCTTCAATGTGACAGTTCCAAGAGCACAGAATTCAAGTAGCATTTTTATGTTTTTAAGCAAAGTTTAAAAACAGTGTTCCCTCTTAACAGCACAAATGGAGATTGCTGACTAGTAGAGAACTTCGTAGACAGGAAGACATCTACCTCTGAAGAACACATAATTAATTAAACTGGAGAGGAAAAGCAAGAGCGAGAAGAGTCAGTTAATTATAAATGGCATGCCTAATTACAGATTTTGCTAGGGGCTTCAGGTACTCCTAATTAGTTTTACTTTGTATATTAATTATAAGTAGAATACCTTGAGAATTTCTGAGTACCGGAATTCACTGAGTATGTAAAATCAAAGTTTAAGTTATCCTTATAATTTAACACTTAGATGTTCAATAATGTATGATAATTATTTTGAAAGTCATCAATAAAATATATATCACACTAAAATTGAGTTACTAAGATTACTAAGGTGGGCCAGCGCCGCGGCTCAATAGGCTAATCCTCCACCTAGCGGCGCCGGCACACCGGGTTCTAGTCCCGGTCGGGGCGCTGGATTCTGTCCCGGTTGCCCCTCTTCCAGGCCAGCTCTCTGCTGTGGCCCGGGAGGGCAGTGGAGGATGGCCCAAGTGCTTGGGCCCTGCACCCACATGGGAGACCAGGAGAAGCACCTGGCTCCTACCTTCAGATCAATGGCCACAGCGGCCATTGGGGGGTGAACCAACGGCAAAGGAAGACCTTTCTGTCTCTCTCTCTCACTGTCCACTCTGCCTGTCAAAAAATAAAAATAAAAATAATTTTAAAAAAAGATTAAATTAAAAAAAGATTACTAAGGTGGTGATAAAACAATCCATAAGGGAAGAAGTGTGCAACTGAAAGCAGGATGACTATGCAGCGTTGATATTAATTCTGAACATACAAGTTGTGATGTAACAATCTTTTTAGGCTACTTTTAGGCTACTTTCTGGGACAAACATCATCTTTCAACCCGGCTATAGGGAGCTTCAGAGAGCCCTAAAATAAAAATGTTAGAAGTGACAAAGGAAGGGAAGAATAGAATAGAAACTAATTACAACTGTCCTATTGATCTAACATCAATCATTAGAAAAACAATGCTGTGCTCTATATATGCTAGTGAAAAATTCCAGAAGGTGACAAAGTCTCAAACAAGCATCATGATTTTAGGTAGGACAAATTAAAGATCAGCTTTAAGAGAGAGACTTGTGTGTGTTCATTGGATCAAAAACTTAGAGAATTTAGATCACTGTATATTTTAATAAAATCTTTTAAAAGTATCACTGATCAAAATCTGAAAGAATTTATGTAAATGGTCTTGGTTATTATAGCACTGTCATGTGAATTTAAACAAATTGTATACAAAGAATAGATAAGTAATAGTAACACTAGCTACCATTTATTGAGCACCTACATATGAGCAGGATTTAAAAACATCATGGAGGGGCCCTGGTCTACAGTGCTGGCATCCCATATGGGTGCCGGTTTGAGTCCTGCAGCTCCACTTTTTTTTTTTTTTTTTAATATTTATTTATTTGAAAGTCTGAGTTACCAGAGACAAGGGAGAGGCAGAGAGAAAGAGAAGTCTTTCATCCGCTGGTTCACTCCTAACCTGGGCGCAACAGCTGGAGCTGCACCTATCTGAAGCCAGGAGCCAGGAACTTCTTCTGGGTCTCCCATATGGGTGCAAGGGCCCAAGGACTTGGGGCATCTTCTACTGCTTTCCCAGGCCATTGTAGAGAGCTATATAGGAAGTGGAGCATCCGGGACTCGAACTGGGCCCATATGGAATGCCGGCACTGCAGGTGGCAGCCTCACCTGCTAAGCCACAGCGCTGGCCCCGACTGTTCTACTTCTGACCCAGCCCCCTGCTATGGCCTGGAAAAGCAGTAGAACACGGCCCAAGTTCTTGGGTTCCTGTAGATGTGTGGAAGACCTGGAGGAGGCTTCTGTCTCCTGTCTTCGGATAGGCCCAGATCTGACCATTGCAGCCATCAGGGGAGTGAACCTGCAGAAGGAAGCTCGCTCGCTCTCTCTCTCTCTCTCTCTCTCTGCCACTGCCTCTCTGTACTCTGCCTTTCAAATGAATAAATAAATCTTTAAAAAAAATTCATGGAACAGGGGCCGATGCTGTGGTGTAGCAGGTCAAGCTGTTGCTTATAGTACTGGCATCCCATACAGGCACTGGTTCGAATCCCAGTTGTTCTACTTCTGATCCATCTCTGCTACGGCCTGGGAAAGCAGTAGAAGATGGCCCAAGTCCTTGGGCTCTGGAAACTGCGTGGGAGACCTGGAAGAAGCTCCTGGCTCTTGGCTTCAGATCAGCCCAGCTCCAGCTGTTGTGGCCATTTGGGGAGTAAACCAACAGAATGGAAGACCTCTCTCTCTCTCTGCGCTTCTGCTTCTGCCTCTGCCTCTTTATAACTCTGCCTTTCAAATAAACAAATACATCTTTTACAAAAATATCATGTGGAGCCGCCCCGGTGGCGTAGCAGGTAAAGCTGCCACCTGCAGTACTGGCATCCCATGTGGGTACTGGTTCAAGTCCCAGCTGTTCCACTTCCAATGCAGCTCTCTGCTATGGCCTGAAAAAGCAGTGGAAGATGACCCAAGTCCTTGGGCCCCTGCACGCACGTGGGAGTCCCAGAAGAAGCTCCAAGCTCCTGACTTTGGATTGGCTCAGCTCCAGCCGTTGCAGCCATTTGGGGAGTGAACCAATGGATAGAAGACTT